GTCAATCGTTGCTCCCTTGTCTCGTCTCTTATGTCACGATTATCTACCTTGGTTTTCCGTTTAAGCTCCCTAGAGATCGTCATGTTTGCCATAGACAGTACGTTAGTCCCAGTCTACCACTTTTTGCCATATTCTTTGGGCCTCTAGTTCTATGGGTGATTGCCCAAAAGGACTAGCTAGAGCAAGAATTCCACTCTAGCATTATACGCGCTCACCCCCCCTTCCCAGTCCTCCAGGCATCGTCCTTGGCGCCGTCACCCTCGGCCACCCCTCGTTGGATCTCGCGTGATCAAATACTTGATTGTCCCAAGTCAATCCCATGGCCACCGAACTCCTTCCACACCGTGGCCCAACCTACTATCACGGGTTACTCGGTTTACCGGACCGATTCTTACAATTCCCGCCCCTGTATCTATATGTTTCCCTCCTGGGCTGCCGGGAGGGCTTTGTGAGGCGGACTTGGGGCGGCCGTTCTTGCAGCATTGGGTAGGGCGGGAGGGTGAGGGAGGAAATATTATGAGAAACACCTACATTGTGGTTTAATGGTAGTTGGGGTGGTGGCCATCTCACCCCTCACACCTTAGAATAAATTTCAAAGACATTACCCTGCTGGCACACTCGCATCTCCTTTAGGCTTGCCAGTGTTGTGGTGGTGGTTGCTATCAAAATGCGCAGTGCTAATAGAACGGAACAGTATAGAGAATACTTGTGGTGGGATCGAAGGGAAAAGTTCTTGTCCTTCGTCTCTCTCTCCTACGCTCATAGGTAATGACAGGTGTATAAGGAAAACATCATCAAAGCAACCTAATCTCTCCGTAAACCACTACACCCATCTCTCACATTCCCTTCATGTCCAAACTCCTCTGTTCGCATCCGTGATAACAAAGGAAAGACATATCTGTGAAATCCGCCTCTAGCCTCCAAACAAATCTATCCTACTGCTCAATCCCGAAAAACACTCCTGCCACTCCGGCAAACAACCTTATCCTTCCACTTTCCATTCCTTCCATGACCAACCACGACACACTATCATTCATCACTTCAACGGCCAGTACTCCCAGGTTTTGTATGACATACCGGTATCAATAGTTGGGCAACAGATGCGCAAGAATGTCCGGGAACTTCCGACATGGGGATCCTTCCCGGGTTTTCTCGGTGCCGGGGGGGTGTATCTGCTAGTGGGTTTCTGAAGCCCCAAAGAGCTCGGCGGGAGGGATGACTACGCATCCTTTACTCGTAAGCGGCTGAATCCCACGAGAACATAGCCCATCTGGGTTCCCGCAATACATAGCAAACACATCCCAAACCCGGAATTCGTTACGTGGTTGCGGGACCCTGTAAGCCTTTGGGCTTATCCGGCTCCAAAATCGTTAGATCCGGCCCACCCCAAGTCTACCAGAGGTCTAACCCGGCGGGCCCACGGGAAAGCAAAGATGAGGGGTTGAAGAGGAGGGATCAAACACTCAGTATTGTACTTAGAAACATGCATTATACTTGTTAGCAGTTGGCACCGATGGCCGCACTCATGGCCATTTGGATTGCGGAGAGCTTCGGGTACCCCGTTAGCGGGTCCCGGCATTCAGGTATTTCTCTTTGGATGGGCACTCCGGACCCAGGAAGTACTGTGCATCAAATCATTCTGCCACCCAATAGCTGTTCCTATGATATTTTCCACCCCCGAAGTGCGGGAAAGGCACAATGTAGTTCCACCATCCAGACTACCGCCCGCGCGACAACCCATAGTAGATGGGAAAAAAATTCCAGAGATGTGAAGTAAATTACGGAGCCGGGTTGAGAGGATACTTGCGCTGGCAGAGCCAGAGATCAGATCACAGAATTAACTCTTTGTTGATAACCCCTAGCAAATCGATGTCTATAAATCGGGAGGGATCGATCACGAACCGGAAAGTTTTTGCCTCAGTTAGAAAGCAAAGTTAGTGGATCAGGATGAATGAGGATTTTTCGTGCTCCCCAGCTTTTTTTTTTCTTTTTTTCTTCGCATCAGGGCTGATTCATCCGACTAAATATGTGTGATCCCGGGGGATCGAAGCCAACAAGCTCACTTTGCTTGTCGCGTAAATACCCCTTGTCTTGCTTTGATCACTGATTTTACTGAGAGGTTTTGTGAGCTCTGAACAATTTTTATTCACCTATTTACCTCATGCTTAAAGAACAACCCCATGTTGATAGACCCAGAGTACTAGCACTGTCCCCACGGCCAGTGGGCAACGGAACCCATGAAAGTGGGGTAAATCTTTGTATTGTCCTCAGGATTTTGAGTGGCCTCAGGCTTCCTGGACCAGCCCAAGAAAACTAATTCCAGAGGGTGCCCGGCCCAGCATTAGTGTTCGTTATGGGGCGGGGTGGGTTTTAGGATACTCGCCTCGCCCCACTCCATGTACGGGGGTTCTCAGAGCACCCCGCAGGTCCTCCCACCCATATTATTTGGTGGAAGTAGGAGCGGGGCCCCGCGAAGGGGGTGGACAGGGTGGGGACCCGTAAATGGGCGGGCTTGGAAAAGCGAAAAAATATTCCATACTTAAGAAATGATCCCCTGCTTCTAAATAAATATTGCCTGCTAGTAGTCCACTCCAAGCGGGTGTTAGATACTTTGGAGAGGCAAATAGAGTCAAGTGATAAGCCTTCCGGAACAGTAAAGAAAGTTCAAAGTTTCTATCCTCTACTCGCACAGCGGCCATCAATATTTCTGAAACAAACCGACTGCAAGAATACGCCAACTGGAGTCGGTGCACTACCACCGATTGCCCAATACTGTTTTTCTCAGTAAGACGAGGAAGGGCTCCTGGGAGAAATAAAAAATAATTGAAATTCACACAAGGCTCTATAGGACTATTTCAGAAATTAGGTTGAGAATACAGGGCGCTGCTCTTGGTTGTACCTGCTCTTTTCACAATGGTGGGCGATGTATCACTGGCATACTGTGGCACCTAACTAATTTACAACTAGGAACTCCTCGGCTAGAATGTAGGGTATCGAGTGATATGTCATGACGATGGTCCACCCACTTGGCAGGAAGGGGGGGCCCTTCGAGAATAAGACTGTTTTAAAACCTTCCGCAGTATAGACGCCCAAATCCACGGTTAGTTGTCTACCCTAAAACTCTGAATTCTTCACGCACCGAGCTACCACGAGATACCGGGAATCAAGCTCTATGTACTGTCGCTCGTATTTTGTTGAGGAAATTCGGATAGCCTATTGAAAGTGCACGTCAGGACCCTGGGTGGGGCTTGTTTCCTTGAGTTGAGTCTTGCCGGACCGAACTTTTTTACCTACCCCGGGTCCGATCGAATCCACTCCTGGTTAGCCAACTGTTAGGTTTCTCTGAATTAATTTATACAGGCTGTCAAGTTTGACATGAGAGGGGCTTTCTACCACAGTGGAAAATTCTATGCACTCTCGTACTCTTGGGACTAGTCCCAGCGACTAATGTATCCATTTGGTATTGATAGGGTGATACGTGCGGAAGACAAGGAAAACGAAGAGTAGAGAACATAAGACCATAAACGAGGAGGTGGCTTTTTCCTTCATAGCAGACCCCTGCGCGAACCCACAAACATGACCTTACTCCGCTTGGAGAAAGAAAAAAATGGAGAGAACGAGATATAGGAAAAAGGGAAGGGAAGTAGCGAAGCCTGAGTATAGCATACACCGAAACAAAACCCAACTAGCTAAAAAGTAAATCGGTAAACAAGCATGACACTCCCGCCCACTTGAGAACTCCTTTCATCGCTTTCCGCCGCCTCCGGGACAATACCCCTCAAGTTATTTCTTATATTGGGATCTCTGGGCAGATTCAAAGATTGATGGTAATCACGGATGAAACCCCAAACCCCGTAGTGTACAATCAAAGATGTATCCAATTTTTATCACAAAACTGGGCAAGATTAACAATAAAGAGATTGACTGAAAAACGTTAATGTGGGTGATAGTGGAGGACCTATTGCGCAGCGGGGGATGGAAGGCTAAGTGGATATGTGTGGCACTATGGCGGTATGCAAGTAAGGATGAGAGGTGAGAGGTAAAGTGGGACAACTTCGTTTCGCGCTCCTCCAAAATAACGGTAAAGACATCCGTATAAGTAAAACATAGATAATGCACCATGGTCCTTCCATCGATTACCACACCAATCTCTCCATTCATGCTGCCCTTTCCTCCATATGCTCCTGTAATAACAAGTGAAAGACATGCTCCATGAATCTTCCCTGTCAATTTCTGAACCTCCGCACTGATCTATCAAACTACTGAACCTCCACCAAACTCCCAAGCCTTCCACAATCTATCTTAATCAATCCACATCCTTCCAGAACCTTCAACAAAAAAAGCGTCAATTTATTACGGTAAGTTAAATTAGGACATCAATGTGCGCGGATAGCCCCGTAATATGGAACAAGGGACTGTGTTGGAGGTGCCGGACTGGATGCAAGAAATATGAAACTAAGGGATAGTGGGTTGTAGGGGAACGGATGCGGAGCGAGAATTGCACATCCGAGTTTGTATGTTCAGGTAGACTCGTCGTAGGATGAATTGAGACTTCGGAGAAGGCCACAGAGGCCTCTAGGGTGGTCGGTGGTAGCAGGCCAGATATGATTCCGGAAATGAGCAGTTTGTTTGGGCCGAGTAATAGAGCACGGTTGTAGGATGGTGCCAGTTGACTCCTGGGAATGTTGCCTGTGTAGGTGGGAGTTGGGTATTTTTTTGCGGTGGTCATGTGAAAAATGGGTAAGAGAGAGGGAGCAGATGTGGGATAGGAAAAGCAAAAACTGCAAGAATTGATGGCCACTTCGGGGGTGGAAAATTCGAGTGGTTCAACAATTGAGAGTCTCCTAGCTAGTTGTGCTACTTGTATCACCCGCCAAAATGCCAGCACTAGGATCCGCCCCGTGTGTGAGGAGAAGTTGGACAATCGATCCGCGGTTTGATTCTTGAGCTGCTTGTGGTGCATTGCCATACTTGCGGCCCTGAGCTTTCACCTCTGCCCCACGCTCGAGGAGAAGCTGCACGACTGATTGGTTCCCATGATATGCCGCTGCTTGAAGTGCATTGCCATACGCGCCACCCTGAGCATTCACCTCTGCCCCACGCTCGAGGAGAAGCCGCACGACCGATTCGTTCCCATGATATGCCGCTGCTTGTAGTGCATTGCCATACTTGCCGCCCTGAGCATTCACCTCGGCCCCTCGCTCGAGGAGAAGCTGCATGACCGATTGGTTCCCTTGATATGTCGCTGCTTGAAGTGCATTGCCGAACCTGCCGCCCCGGGCATTCACCTCTGCCCCACGCTCGAGGAGAAGCTGCACAACCGATTGTTCCCATGATATGCAGCTGCTTGTAGTGCATTGCCAAAATTGCCACCCTGAGCATTCACCTCTGCCCCTCGCTCGAGGAGAAGGCGGGCAACGGATTCGCTCCCCCGATGTACGGCTGCTCGTAGTGCATTACAATAAGAGCCTCCATAAGCATTCACCTCGACCCCATGCTCGAGAAGAAGCCGCACAACCGATTCGTTCTCTTGATATGCAGCTGCTTGTAGTGCATTGCCATACTCGCCACCTTGCACATTCACTTCTGCCCCATGCTCGAGAAGAAGCCGCACGACCGATTCGTTCCCCCGATATGCAGCTGCTTGAAGTGCATTGTTATGACTGCCACCCTGAGCATTCACGTTTACTGTATCCACTCCTCTATTGACTAGCAATTTACAGGCCGTCACCAAATTTAGCAGAGAGGAATAGTATATTGCTGGTGGGTAAACTCTAGCTCTGTGGGTGGAAAGCCGGTAAGGTCGGTCAGGGTCATATATATCTAGCCACTCCTTTCCCAGCTCGAGGACCTTTACCGACACGTCGAGGAGTGGGGTGGGTGCCGTATCCTCAATAGATCTAGTATACACGAACCAATAGCGGGCACTGTGGTAGAGAAACGAGGTGTTTTCGACATTGTTCCCGCTTATTGTAGCTTGTGCACTATGTCGCAGTATTCGACTGAGACAAGCGTGCGCCATCAGTAAATTGGCTTTATCCTCAGAAATATGATAGTAGGCACCAGGGCCCTGACCTGTCCGGTCGGAAATCAGATATTCCTTTACCGAAAAATGAGCCAGTCGTAATCTTCGGGCTTCTTGGGTGGATGATTGATCGTCCCTGGCATCTTCGAAGGAGATAAGGCTTGGGCAAATGCTCATGAGGGACTTCATCTTAAAAAGAGGTTCAGAATCCTCGCCATATTTGTTGACATCGTATTCGATCACAATGGCCTCCGCAAGCTGTCCCAATGTCAACGGTACTGCTGAAAATGCGAGCCAATGCATCGCTCGCCTAATATATTCTCTCTGTGCCTCGGGAATGCTGTTAAGGATCCTCAAGTAGACGGAATCCAAATCTTTCGGCAGTTCCTGCAAGGCGGTTCTCACAGATTTTGGTGTTATGCATTCCTCTAGAATACGTAAAAGACAGTCCACCCATCGGAACCTTTACATATCCAACCTTATGTAAGCGTAAGCCAAAAATTTAGAAGTTGAGTATAACATACATTCCTTGTGCGCGAGCAACGAGTGTGTCCTCTATCTCCATTTTGATTTCTTTGGTAAATTCCTTGAGGCCATCCCTACCGTCTAGGGAGTTCTGTATATATGAACGGATATCCGGATCGATGGTATTAGATTGTAGCGATATGGAAAAAGTGGTGAGTGGTTCTAGGGATTTCACTATATCGGCCTCGGGACGGCTGGTGATGAGAATGGAAAGCGATCCCGCGTTATGATCTACTGTGAGCTCGCCGATCCAAGATAAGAGGCTCTTGCGGGTGTCCTTGGGGAATTCATCTAAGGCATCGAGAATGATAAACGTCTTCCTAAAACTCTTTATAATCCGTGACAACAGATCTTTCAGAGATTTGGTATCTGCCGACTTTCCAATTGCCTCGCTGCTATTGTATAAGTCCACAACCTCGGCCGGTAAACCCCGCTCTGAAGACCTTTTTGAAAGTTGGCCAATAAGGGATAGAAGCATGTTGTGCAATTTCAACTTCTCGGAGTCGCTGAAGGTGAAGTAGAAATAGGCCAGTGCATGATCATCCCTCGTGTTGCACAGATTCTCGACATCTTCAATGGAAGTAGCGCTGGGGGAAGTGTTAGAAATCCGGAAATCATATTTCACCTCCGGATATCCAGTTAGGTTCGTACCTTAGAACACTTTTGCCACATCCGGCTATAAAACGGAAACGTTAATGACATTCTTCGAAGAATAAGATTCCACTCGTCTATAGACTTACGTATACCATGAAGCCATAGAACCCCTCCTCTACCTTCCTTCCAATCCAAGTACTCTTGTCCCTGGAGCAGCCACTTTCCCGTTCCGGGTTCACGAACCACAAGTGTAGACGAATAATTAGAGGCTGGGTCAACGACGTTAAGCCATTTCTGTACTTTCTGGATTTTGTTCTCTGGGGGTTTAGGAGTGTCTGGTATTAGTAAAGAAAATTATTTGCAGGGTTAGGGATAATGTGACCAAGTACCATCTTGATTTCGCAGCACCTTTGTCACCGTCTTGCTAAACAACTGGTTAGCCTTGCCATAAAAACTAAAACGGAGTGGAGAAGCTAGATGCTAGGGCGACTGAAGGATATATAACCTACGTTGTGGCTGTATTCAACAAGAGTTGAAGTTTCGATCTCTGCTCTTCAACCAAACCCAAGTAATGCTCCATTTTAGGTTTAAGAAAAGGCCAAAGATATTTTCTCATGAATTTCCTCCATTCAGGCACATCTAGCTTTTTCTCCAGCTTCTCCAGCGCTGTCTTGTAATCATTCAAACTTTCATTTTTCGTCCATTGAAGAAGGGCAGGGTATTGTAGGTCGTTCTCATCGTCTCCGGCGGCAAGGCTCCGGATTTCCTCCAGTTGTTGATGGATACTTTTAATCTCGTCCCCCAGCTTCTTGAAATCTTGTTGGCTCCCCTTGACAGTGTCGTAGTATTCATAGCAAAGTTTGAAAACCTTCGAGCTGAGATGGATGAGCGCCAAACCGCCGGCAGCCAGGGCGAAGGCCTCTGCCATTTCTTTTTCTCAGGGATATTATGAACTTAAAGAGGGGAAGTGTGAAGGGGTGGCTATGATAGCTTGCTAACAAAAGTTAACGTTCGCTCTTGAGGTGTGCGGGACTTCAAGCTTTAGATTCCTTTGGGCCGCGCTTTTCTACTGCGAATTCAAAGATGTGGTGGAAGGAAAAAACTATGATACCGTGTGCGGAGGGGGTTTCTTCAGAGAGCAAATTTTTTCTTAAGTTCGCTGTGAGCGGGGGCACTGGCACCTAATTTAAATACTAGCACTTATTCGAGTACATAAGGAGGGCAGCTGCATGCCCAATCTCTATTGGTTCACTTGCAAGCGAACCATTGTTTGGGTACCGCACAGTACCGCACGCTACTCGAGTAGACAAGCCTCCATGCTCACATTTTGAGTAATGATCGAATTTCTTTTCCCCGCCTTTGCTTTGAAGCGAGAAGGTGTGCTCGGGTGTGTTCATGGGGGTCAGGGTGATTAATACCTGCTACGCAATGTTGGCGAGCAGAAGGCAACAAAATGTGGAAAACACAAAGAGGAACTGGCCGTCCAAGGACTCGTGGTCAATGGAAAAAAAGGGGAGAGCCCTGGTGGCTGTGAGCAGAATGGTGGAGCCGATGGCAAAATCTCGTGGGGCTTGAACGAGATGAATTCCCTAGCGCAGTGAAAACAGTAGTATTTGACCCTAACCCTCCTGATCACCGGGCACCGGCCACGTTCCAGCCCCCAGGGGAGCACATTTTAAATTACAAGAAGTATGATAAAGCCCCGCCCTCTGCTCAACAAACGCTTTTTTTTCCACTGTGCCATCGGTAGGCATGATGGACTACTCTTAGCGGCACCAGGCGGATTGACCGGGGGTGTGGATAGCCCCGGCATGTTTTAGCAAGATCGGACCGTATCAGAATCAGTATGATACCGGTATCATACCGGATCTGGTGTGCGGCAGACTGCCGGTAAATTTACTCGAGTATCGAATTCAGGTACCAGTATGATACTGCTCCGTATACTCGTACCATGTTCAAGCCCAGTGCATGCACCGCGCCGCGCAGAATTCGATGGGGCAATAGAGGGATCCAGCAGTGAAACCTAATCCCTACAAAAAGTGCCAAGATTAAGGGTAGAAGCGAGAAGCCGAGCAAGGGTAATTGAGAGTTCCAGCAAGTGAAACAGGATGTGAGGAAAATGTATCTCAAAGTAGTTAGAAGATATACTTATGATACTAGATGTAGAAAAACTCAACGTCGTGAAAATTTTTCTTTCATCCAATCTACCGCACCTTCATCTGGATTCCACAAAGCGAAAAGCGTTATGTCTACCCACGGTATATCCGAACCAAATTTAAACTTGTTTCTCGTTAATAGCGAAGTGCAACCAAATCTTTCTGAAAGTCAATTATCTCCTAAGTCTATGGAAGGAAGAATCGATTGGAATCCAAGACCAGTAACCGCATCACAAGAATTGGACGACGAAAATCACTTTCATCATCTTCACCGCGACACTCGTTGAACTGTTAAGTTACTGCAATTATGCCGGTAGGTTGCGCATGCCACATTCTCTACCGGCACTGTAACGTACGAGTAGACACCGCTATTTGCAAAGCCTGCTCACTTATCAACACCTTTGGTTTACCGGTATCTCACAAATGCAACCTGAAAGGCGTTCATCACCGTTCTTGAAAAAGTGCATGGAAAATTTGTTGCACCCCCGTTCAATGTCCTAGGACTGGTGTCGAAATCGCTCCCACAGCTACGGTGAAACCCCTTGAGATTCTCTATCTAAGTCCACTCGCTAACCTCGTGGATCAGAGACAAATGTTACAGAGAAGGATTAGTGCCTTCCAAACACTGTAAGCCTGAGTATTTTGATTACGTTAGATCTCGTTAACTGAATTCCGCAAATCCATTAACTTGCAAAACTGATCCGAACGCGGGGTGAAATCGTGATTTACAGGGATGTTTGAGACCTGGGGAGATAGGGAAGTATCAAGGGTTTTTACGGTACGGGTACCAGTGTGGGTCTTCCCTTTCTCTTCTACGATATCCGATCGGATGGTGGTTTGACCAGGCACGCCTGTGGAGAAAACTGCAATTGTCACCATTTTACCATGCCGAGGGATTGTGAGGATAAAATTGATCCTATAGAACTGGTGTATCGGAGTCGATATGGAAAGTGCAAATTGAGGAAAAGACTGAGCCCAATCGAGGTGAGGCGACGATCAAACTAACCGTTGAGAGGCAGGAGTGGTTGTTCCTGTCTAGCGAAGGAAACATGAAATCGCCTTTCTAGGCAGAAAATTCTGCGCGCCAAGCCATGTCCGACTCACAGTCGGCAAAAACACCTCCCTCGACTGCCAAACCACCCTCTCAAACCGCCTCAGCCCACACCGGCAGAAAGGTCACCGCCAGTTCAACCAGCCACTATGAAACCGACGAACCATGTGCAGCTCCAGAGCCCCTCACTTTCTGGGGTTTGAGCTATCTGTGGGGAATCCTTCGACACTGGTATGGTATCACACCGTACAGCTATCGCCCCGTGGCTTCCATTCCCCACTTGATCTCCGCCTCCGGAGAATCTCCGTTCCATCGCCCCACTCTTTCCCCCCTTTTCAAGACCCTGAGATATCGGAAGAAGGGCCCGGAGCCAAGCCACGAAAACATCACCATGCGCGCTACGCTTGTTCCATCACCGGATTTTCCAAATGGCAAACGACGCATCAGCAACGGCTATTAGTAACCGTTTCCCTGGGGGTCGGCACCAATCTTTCGGGACCAACCAATCCTTTCTTTCCCCGGAGGGCGCTGGGACCCTGGGGGGGGGAAAAGGATCTCTCGACAGACTCCGGTAGCGAGGGCCCCTAGGAAAAGGTATAACAGCTATGGCACCCGGATCTACATTTCCTTGTTGCACACATTTGCCTAGCTTCCGACTTGCCAGAGAATATTCACCGCAAAAATCTGCTTCCGCTCTTGGATTCACTAACCTATGATATAATTTAGCCGGGCGTACTAGGGAGATCGATGCCGTTTCCAGTTCCCTTCTCGCCTATCGCATTCGGCCTTCAATATGGCACCTGATCCCCATCTCTTGTCCATATCTCGCTCCCCATTTCCCCCACCGCACTTTGCTTTCTATCATAGACACTCGGCCCCGACCTCTCCTCTCGCATCATGCCACTCGCCGCTTGGAATCCGTACCCAGCTTTCCAGCCTTCCCGACAAGTTGGCGATATTTAGACATCGGTCAATAGCCGAATTGCGTCCGCCATACCCTGTGCTACCAGATGGATACCTCACGCGGGACCTGGATGGAGGAGGCCTGGAAAGGGTCCTCTGTTTACCCCACCCTATTCAGATAATTAACTTAAGCACGCCATCAGTCAAATCCTCTACGGAGGTACAGCCCATAAGTTTTGTATGTTCCACAGGGGCTAAGGGCGACGAGTCTCGCTTGTGGAACCTACAAAACTTATGGGCTGTACCTTCGTATACGTTTTTGATCTCATCTCTGCTGCAGTTACCCTCTGGCTCTGTTCCACTTCTCTCCTTTGCTCCGTCACATGCGCCACGACACGCGAACGACTGCCGCCCGATTGTACAAAGCCTTCCAGCAAGGTACGGCCGAGGACTTGGCGGGTAATAACACATGCCCCATTCGTTGCCCCCCTACAAGGCCAATCGGGCGGCCGGTCCTTCCTGTGTATGCCTCCGGGCGTTGTAGCATATAATCAATGCTGGCCGGGGCTACGGTCCAACCAGCCTTGTCCTAAGGATGGGAAGAACACCGTTCGGGTCACTGGGTAGAAAATTTTTCTTCTCCCTCCTTCCCCCATTCTCCACAGCCTTTGCATAGTGTTACTTCATCGGTCATTGGGAAGTTAGGCTGTCTGTTTCTGCGACACGTCCGCGGATAGCCTTGCGATTTCCCTGCCATGCCCGCAATCACGCGTCTTCCCCTAGGCAACCTACTTGGAATCCGCAAAGATGGAGGGTTGGTCAACAGCTATGGGGCCGATCACTCCTCCCTTGTTTCGTCTCTTCTGGTTTATTTCATGATTGTCCATTTTACTTTTTTTTCCCTTTTTAGACTCCCCAGAGATGTTCGCATTTGCCAGACAGTTCATTAGTACTGGTCCACTACATTTTGCCTTACCCTTTGGGTCTCTAGTTCTATGGGTGATTGTCCAAAAGGACTAGCTAGGGCAAGAATTCCACTCTAGCATCATAACCGCTTACCCCCCTTCCCAGTCCTCTAGGCATCGTCCTTGGCGCCGTCACCCCCGGCCACCCCCTAATGCTTTGGATCTCGCTTGATCAAATGCTTGGCTGTCCCAAGTCAATCCCACAGCCCCCGAACTCCTTCCACACCGGGGCCCAACCTGCCATTACAGGTTACTCAGTTTACCAGACCGGCTCTTAAAATCGCCACAGCTCGGAGTAGCAATGTGCAAGGCATATCCACACTAGACCCTGCCCCCGTATCCATATGTCTTCTGCTTGGCTAGTGGAGGGTTTCCTGAGGCGCACTTAGGGTAGCTGTTCTTGTAGTAGGGGGTAGGGCGGGAGGGTGAGGGAGGAAATATCGTGAGAAATACCTACCTTGTGGTTTAATTGTAATTTAGTTGGGGGTTGGCCTTCTCACCCCTCACAGATTGGAATAAAATTAAAAGATATTCCCCTTGCATCTCCAGGCTTCCCCATATTCCCAGATTTTGTATGACATATCAATAGTCGAGCAACAGATGCGTAAAAACCGTTTGGGAACTCCCGACATGGGGATCCTTCTCGGTTCTGGGGCGGTGGTCTCTGCTAGTAGGTCCCTGAAGTTCCAAAGTGCTCGAGCAGAGAATGAGGGATGACTACGCATCCTTTATTCGTAAGCGGTTGGACCACACTCCCATGTGAGGTTAGGGCACGAGCACAAGAGCATAGCCTATCTAGGTTCCCGCTATACATAGCAATCACATCCCAAACCCGGCATTCGTTAAGTGGTTGTGGGGCGCTGTGGGCATTCCGATGGCCCTACCCGGCTCCGGAATCATTGGATCCGGCCCGACCTAACCCTGCCGGAGGTCTAACCCGGCGAGCCTAGTGGTTAGTTCATCTTTACCCCCGGAAAGCTAGGATGAGCGGTTGAAGAGGCGGGATCAAACGCTCAATATTAAACCCCGAAACATGGGTTATATCTGTTAGCGGTTGGTACCGGTGGCCGCACTCATGGCCATTAGGCTTGCAGAGGGCTTCGGGTGCCCCATTGGCGAGTCCCGGAATTCATGTATTTCTCCTTGGGTGGGCAACGTCGGACCCAGGAAGCACTATACATCAAATCATCTCCCCACCCAATAGCTGTCCCTGCGGTGCTTTCCACCCCCGAAGCGCAGGGAGGGCACAACATGGTTCCACCATCCAGAGTACTGCGTGCGCGATACCATATAGTTAGATTGAAAAAAGCCCCCGAGATGTGAAGTAAATTACGGAGCCGGCTTTAGAGGATACCCGCGCTGGCAGTTCCAGAGATAGAGTCAAGCGATAAGCCCATCAGAACCGCAGATAAACCTCAAAATTTCGATCCTTCACTCGCACAGCGGCCAGCAATATTTCTGAAGTAAACAGACTGCGATAACACGCCAAATGTAGCCGGTGCAAGACCACCAATTGCGCAGTACTAGTTTTCTCAATAAGCCGGAGAAGGGCTCCTGAGAGATAAAATACTTGAAATTGGAACAAGGTTCCGTAGAACTATTTCAGTAGTTGGATTGAGAATACCGTGCGCTGCTCTTGGCTGTGCGGGCTCTTTTCACAAGTGTGGGCGGTGTATCACTGACATGCCATGATACCTATCTAACCAATTTAGAAATAAGAACTGCGATGCTACAATGTAAGGCGTCGAGTGATATATCATGAAGGTGCTCCACCCACTTGGCAGGAAGCGCTTCTCAAGAGTACAGGTCCCTTTAAAGCCCTCGGCTTAATAGACGCCCAAGTACATGGTTTTTTTTGGCTGCCCCAAGACTCCTGAATTCTGCACGCAGAGCCACTACGAGATACTGGGAATCAAGCTCACTGGATTGCCGCTCTTGTTTTGTTGAGGAGATTCGGATGGCTTATTGAAAGTGCACACGAGGACTCCGGGTGGGGCGAAATACGCCCCCGGATATTCGTAGTAGAGGGTAATCTGTACAACTCACTCTTAGATCGTCCCATATTGTACTCTGTTCGTTTCGCATTCCGACGCAGTGAGCCGCCCGGTAGACCCGGGCTATGGTTCCTTGGGTTGAGTCTTGCCGGGCCGAACGATTTTGTCTACCTTAAGTCCGATCGAATCCGCTGATTTTAGTCCTGGTTACGGTATCCAACTGCGAGGTTTTCTCCGAATTAATTCATACACGCTCTCGGGTTTGAGGTAGAAGGCGTTTTGTACCGCGGTGGAAAATTATATGCACTGGCGCACTTTTGGGGCTAGTCCTAGCGACTAACTTGATGCATTGATTGAGTATCGATAGGGTGATACACGCGGACGACAAGGAAGACGAAGAGCAGAGAAATTAAGACCTTAAAGGAAAAGGACACATTTGCTTTCATGACAGACCCCTGCGCGAGCACACAACCGCGGCCTTTTCCGTTTAGGGAAAGACAAAGAGGGAGGGGTAATGAGATAGACTATGAGGAAAAGGAAGGAAGGGAGGGGAAGTAGCGATGCCTGAATATAGCATACACCGAAACCAAATCCGACTAGCTAAAAAGTAAATCAGTAAACAAGAATGAGACTCCCGCCCTCTTGAGAGCTCCTTTAATCGCTTCCCGCCGCCTCTGGAAAAATACCCCTCAAGTGGTTTCTTATATTGGGATCTCTGGGCAGATTCGGAGATCGGTCACAATTACCGATGAAACCCCAAACGCGGTAGTATACAATCAAAGATATATACAATTTTTATCACAACTGGGTAACAGTAACAATAAAGAGATTGACTTAAAAATGTTAATGTGGGTGATAGTGGAGGACCTATTGCGCTGCGGGGGATGGAAGGCTAAGTGGATATGTGTGGCACTGTGGCGGTATGCAAGTAAGAATGAGAGGTGAGAGGTAAGGTGGGACAACTCCGCTCCGCGCTCCTCCAAACTAAGGGTAAAGACATCTGTATAAGTAAAACACAGACAATGCACACTGATCCTTCCATCGATTACCAGACCAATCTCTATCTCTCAATTCATGCTGCCCTTTCCTCCATATGCTCCCGTAATAACAAAGGAAAGACATGCTCCATGAATCTTGTCCGTCAATTTCTGAACCTCCGCACTGATCTATCAAACTACTGAACTTCCACCAAACTCCCAAGCCTTCCACAATCTATCTTAATCAATCCACATCCTTCCAGAACCTTCAACAAAAAAAGCGTCAATTATTACGGTAAGTTAAATTAGGACATTCAATGTGCGCGGACAGCCCCGTAATATGGAATAAGGGACTGTGTTGGAGATTCCGGACCGGATGCAGGATAAACGAAACCGAGGGATAGCGGGTTGTGGGGGAACGGATGCGGAGCGAGAATTGCACATCCGAGTTTGTATGTTCAGGTAGACCCGTCGTAGGATGAATTGAGACTTTGGAGAAGGCCACAGAGGCCTCTAAGGTAGTTGGTGGCAGCAGGCTAGATATGATTCCGGAAATGAGCAGTTTGTTCGGGTGGAGTAATAGAGCACGGTTATAGGCTGGTGCCACTTGATTTCTGGGAATGTTGCCTGTGTAGGTGGGAGTTGGGTATTTTTTTACGGCGGTCATGTGAAAAATGGGTAAGAGAGGGAGCAGATGTGTGATAGGAAAGGCAAAAACTGCAAGAATTGGTGGCCACTTCGGGGGTGGAAAATTCGAGTGGTTGAACAATTGAGAGTCTCCTAGCTAGTTGTGGTACTTGTATCACCCGCCGAAATGCCAGCACTAGGATCCGCCCCGTGTGTGAGGAGAAGGTGCACAATCGATCCGCGGTTTGATTCTTTAGCTGCTTGTAGTGAATTTCCATACAAGCCACCCTGGGCATTCACTTCTGCCCCACGCTCGAGGAGAAGCTGCACAACCAATTCCTTCCCTTGATATGCAGCTGCTTGTAGTGCATTGCCATAGTCGCCGCCCTGAGCATTCACTTCTGCCCCACGCTCGAGGAGAAGC